TAGTTTAATATATTCAATTGATTAGTTAATTTATAGTGTACAGTAATTTTCAAGAGAACGATATCTTACTTATCTAATATTACATAATCAATTAGGTTTACTTGAAAGGATAGTGCTTATATTATGGATTGGCTTTTCTAATCAAAAAGTTAAAATGAAGTTGCCCAATGATAATTAGAAGTGACAAGGGATGGAATTTATCAACCCGTATTCCTAGCAACGGGTTTTTTGTCAACTTTGGTGACAAAGCAATTAATGTTCATCAACTCTATTGCAAAGCAAAGCTTCTCAACTCCTTCCCCCCATGGTGTTGAAACTCATTTCCCATGCATGTTCATATAAAATGAATCATACACATAATGAAAGGAAAATAAGATGGGAACTCTCTTTGTCATTTTTTCCATAAACAATCTTCTTTTCCTCACCGTTACAACTTGAAAATTTCTTGAGATTACAAGATAGTGGTGGGAGAATAAAAAGTATATCTTGAGATGCTAGCCTTTAAGATCTTCTTTAAACTAAGGGATCTTCAAGTTGTTGAACCTGTTTCTGTGGAGAAGATGAAGAAAGCGTCCCTTTTTGACAATTATGAGAAGAGTTCCCTTGAGAATCCAAGGAATAAGTAAAGATGGTGCTTAAAAGACAAAGAACCATGGGTAATTCTATGGTGATTCGAAGAATTTTCAGTAAAAAAGACGAAAGTTTTTGAAATTTTCAAGAGAGAGAAGGAATTAGAAGACTAGGGTTGCATGAATGGCCAAAAGTTCCAATGACCTGTTAGTCCAAGTAAAAGAAACTCAGTTCTTCTTAAATAAGATTTTGAGATTAAGTCTTGTAAATAAAAAACAAGCATTGGAAAAAGCTCCCTCCTTATGAGTTGTGATGTGGCTTGACTCCAACTTAATTGGGGCTCAATGTGATTTCTAAATATTGAAGGATTTAATACAAAAAAAAAAAAAAAGGCCAAAAGCTCTTCCAAGGAAGAAGAAGGGGTACTTATATTGCCAAGGCGTAAATGATAATTTTGACATATCCAAACTAATGTTGACACTTAATTGAAATCATCCCTTAAAATGAGGCCAATTGTTCCTCATCTAAGTAGGCTGGGGCATGGTTCGGTTTTGGTCTAACCAAAATCAAATTTTGCTCTATCTGTATTATTTTTTTTTTCAATTTTATTAACCAAAATCGAACTAAATTCTTGATGGATTTTTTTGTTTGGTAACCAAAATAGTTAGTTTTTATATTTCAGTTATTGATTATAATCAAATCAACATTGATACCCCTTTCAAGATTAATAATGAATATACTTAATCAAAAATCAAAACTTTTAAATAATATAAATATAATAAAATGCGAAAAAGATGAATAAATGAGAGTAAAATATAAATTTTGAGTTTTATTTTTTTACTTTTAAATACATTTTAAATTTAAATACTAAATTATAATAAAATTTATAAGTTAAAACTTAAAAATAAAATTAAATAAGATTGTTTTTATATTTAAATATATTTTAAATTTAAATACTAACTTATAATAAAATTTATAA